AGCTCTCCCGGGTGGATACTGAGGCGTTCCCAGGCCAGCCGAGAGACATCGTTCCTCCAGCGTGTCTTAGGTCTGCCCCGGGGCCTCCTCCCGGTGGGACATGCCCAGACCACCTCCCTAGGAAGGCGCCCAGGAGGCATCCGAAACAGATGTTTGAGCCACCTCAGCTGGCACCTCTCGATGTGGAGGAGCAGCGGTTCTACTCTGAGCTCCTCCCGGGTGACCGAGCTCCTCACCCTATCTCTAAGGGTGCGCCCGGCCACCCTGCGGAGAAAGCTCATTTCGGCCGCCTGTATCCGGGATCTTGCCCTTTCGGTCATGACCCAAAGTTCATGACCATAGGTGAGGGGACTTTAACATATTTAAAACAATGACAGACAATAGAAAACATTACATTTTATTCTAATTATTAGACATATTCATCCAAAGGACACCTCCACCTAAATCACGTGACCCTTTGCAGCAGGGTGTTAAATGCCATCCCCAAGTTAATGTCCTGACACTACAGCCTTCTCAGTGGAGTTTACTTAATGTTGTTATTAATAATTGTTCACTTTCTGCATACTGGGTTGTAGATTTCTTTTTAATTTGGTACATTTTCTTATTTTCCAAGATTAATTGGCTGTAGACAACAAGATGACTCTGCCGGAGGTTTGGACTAGTGACCTTAACCTAAATTTTACAGCTCTTAGACAAAAGCTGAATGCTACAAACTTAATAAAGTTGCACTAAAAGTTGAACTTAAAAATCATTAACCTATGAGTCCACATGCAGCCCTGAAGAAAGAGAGCACATTTGCACTCAGTAGAAGTTACTGTCACAGATTATTCTCTTTATTTTTACATGTAACTCTTAGTGAATTTACACGGTGTGAAATCAGGCTATAGTCGCCAGCAGGAGAGACTTTACCTTCATCTTAGGCATTTTTTGGAAATTGATGAATTAAAACTCAACTCATTTACAAAGGCATTCAGACCTTTTGCAGTCTTCTGGTATCATCTGACTACATATCTTCATGTTTCAGCAGATTATGGATCTGAGCCTCCCTTGTCTCCTCCTTTTTGTCCTGACTGGCTGTGTGGAAGTCTCCGCTGATAACCAAAATGGCACTCACCGCTACGAGTACTGTGTGCTTGGAGCTGGGCCTGCAGGGCTGCAGATGGGATACTTCCTTTCCAAGGCCAAAAGAGACTACATCATCTTGGAGAGGAACTCGGGACCAGGCAGCTTCTTTAACAAGTAGGTCATTTTGTGAAAGGACCTCACATGGTTCAGGAGGCACAAGAAGCAGCCTAAGAAAGTCGTCTCTGACCAGGGATCAGTCAGAAGCAGTTAAGCACAAGGCTTCTTACATTGTGCAGTTGTTTCATGGACTTCAGAGTGGTTTGCCATATCTGTTTACAACAGAATTTTTTTCAAAATTTATTGAAATGTAACAAAATACAACAGTGTAGCTGAATTATCACAAGTTTTTTTTCTTTGCTGATGTCTGCAAAGTGTAAACTAAGCAGTGGGACCTGGCTGCAGACAAGATGGCGGATTGTAACCATGGCCAGAAGTTGTTAATTTTTTCCAGAAGTGGGGTTATGGTTAGGGTTAACCCCGACCGCTAACTGTAAATCTGCCGAGGTTAACAGCTTACAGCCAAGACTGACTACTTCCTGTTAAGGTTGGCGGTCAGCCATCTTGTCTGCATCCAGGTTCTCTTTGTCGGTTTGTTCATGAAGCTCAGTAAATCTGGGTTTTTTGTCACCTTGGACTTGGATCAGTAATCGGACCGGCTGTCGGAGCCCATCCCTCCTTTTGACACGTTCCTTCTCTGCTCTGTGTGTTGAGGTATCCCAGACACAGGAAGCTCATCAGCATTAACAAGATCCACACAGGAAGTCGGAACAGGGAGTTCAACCTGCGCCATGACTGGAACTCTCTGCTGAGTGATAAACCTGACCTCCTGTTCAAGAAAGTGAGTGGTGATTTTTACCCACCTGCTGACGCCTTCCCGCTCTACCTGTCCATGTTTGTGGAAGAGCTCGGGCTGAGGGTCCGGTATGGTGTGGACATTGGATGGATCAGAGCAGCGTTGTCAGCCACTGGCAGGAGCTACGTCCTGACTGATCAACACGCGTCAAACTACACATGCAGGTATTTCACCACATTCTGGCCCTGAGATGAACATTTTACATTTGCTTGGATTGTGGATTGTTCTACTTCTGTCTCCCTCAGCGTCCTTCTGGTAGCCACAGGTTTGTGGGTTCCTCAGACGGTAGAGTTTGTCGGTTCTGACCTGGTTGAGGGCTACGAGTCCATCTCCACTAATCCTGAGGACTACAAGGACCAGGCCGTTCTTATTCTGGGAAAGGGGAACTCTGCTTTTGAAACGGCCCAGAGCATCTTGGGAAGAGCAAGTCGGGTGCACATGATCGGTTCCAGCCCTGTTCGACTGGCTTGGCAAACGCATTATGTTGGGGATCTCAGGTAGTGCTAAAGATCTGTTAATTATCCATTCATTTAGCTAATTACTGTTAGCCAGCTATTGCAGCTGTTTATCCTTTACTTTGAGCTAACTGTTTGAACTGGTTTAACCATTTATCCATTTCAGTAAAGCTTACTTTTAAAATCTCCATCCATTACTTTTAGCTAACTGTTTATCTCTGCACTTGTTTGCTAACTAGTTTTACGCACTCTCTTGCAACACGCGTTGTTTAGGTTTAATAAGTAGATATACATTTTTTTTATTAAATTGTGTCTATTTTTTCTTTTTTCAAATCAGTTAACCACGTTTCTCCCCTATCCCCTGGCCATCCCCTGGTTAGGAATCTAACACTGATGTCAGCCTCACTAGTTGTTCAGCATTGGCGCTATTGGCATTTTTAATGTACACTCAGCTGTTTCTGTTTTTCAGAGCTGTGAATAATGAGCTACTAGACACATACCAGCTGAAGTCCCTTGATGGGCTGGTGGATGCACCCCTGGAGACAATTGCTATTGCTCAGCACAAAGAGGACAGCAGGAAGAAATCAGGCAGAAAGAAGAAAGAGAAGAAGGGAAAGTTGTACCTGATTTTTAATAAGTACATGCAAAGCCAGGAAAACAGCTCTGAAGTGACAGGAAGAGAACTGCCAGGGTTTCATCTTGACAACTTCGCCATGCGAAAACCGTACGACCGCGTGATTCGATGCCTTGGATTCAGATTTAACTTCAGCATATTTGACAGGTAGAGATTTATGTAACATTGTCATTAATGACAAGTAATGTACTGTCCTGGTAATAAATTCTGCTCTCTTGTACCCCAGCTCTGCCCGACCACCAAACAGTGACAACGCAAAGGGGAGGTTGCCAGGTGTGACCGCCTGGTACGAAGGCAAGAACACCCCCGGCTTGTTTGTGCTGGGAACTGCTGCTCACTCCCGAGACTACCGCTCATCTAGCGGTGGCTTCGTCCATGGATTTCGTTACATAGGTGACAGTCTAACAGATGTTTGTTATTTAGGTTGTCTTTGTTTGTTGATCCTTTCTGCCTCAGTAGTCACACCTTGGGCTACAAGGTGCGATTCCAGCTACAGCACCTGTAGTCGATAGCACAACGTGAACACTCGGATACACAGGTTACAGCTGGATTGCAGCAGAATACGAGTTTGAAACTTGTACATTTCAGCAAAGCAACACTTTTGTACCAGTCTGACACATAATCAAGATCACTGGTGGAAAGTAACTAAGTACATGTACTCATGTTTTGTGCTTAAGTACAATTTTGAGCCACATACGTATGTACTCTACTGGAGTATTTCCGTTTTCTGCTCCTTCATCCTGTGACTCCATGTCAGAGACAAACCGTGTACTTTTTACTGCACTACATGTACCTGATACCTTCAGGTCCTTTCCAGAATCAGATGAATCAAACCAAACCCAGTAGTAGAATTTTAATAATAAAACTGTAGTATTGCAATTTTTACTTAAGTAAAAGATGAATATTTTTTGAGCCACTGGTCAAAGTGATATTTAATCAACTCTATGGATTTTCTGCCCCAGCGCGAGCTGTCCATCGTGTACTTGAACATCGTTACCATAGCAACTCGTGGCCAGTGACGAAACTGTCTATAACACAGCTGCAGTCCTGGATCCTGAAGCGGGTCAACGAGGCCTCTGGGCCGTACCAAATGTATGAGGTGCTTGGGGATGTTGTGCTTCTTCGAGGGTAAGAAGATGCAAACACGTTGCCTGACCTTTTGACAATAAGTAAAAGTACAGTGATCATGTTTATGCTCATTGTATTTTGGTCCTGCCTTCTCCCTTTCACTTGAAGCTCTCAGTGTGAATACGTGGAAGAGTTTCCAGTCCAGGCCTTGCCTCAGTTCTCCTTGCTCTCAGGCCACGAGGTCTCCAGCCATGGGCTTCTGGTTCTAGTCATGCAGTATGGGAAGCAGAAGATAGACTATCTGGGGCGTAACAGGGCAGAAATAGACTGGACCAAAGCCTGGAAATCCAACTTTCTGCACCCAGTTTTATACTACTATGATGCACTGCCGACTGGTGAGTAGGAGCATCGCTATCAGTACAAATAAATAGTTATTTTGATAGTTTTTACAGGAAAACTATAACAAAACTGAAGTATTGTATTTGCATGTCCTCTATAAAAAGGCTGTGCACTCTGTGCAGCCGGCTGTTTCCTGGATCCATCAACACTCAGTAACCTCTACTAACATTTATAGTGCATCAGATGTTGTATGGCTGCAGTTCAGAACTTTTAGAACAGGTTCAACAGCATCAGTGCAGTGTTTTCAGATCTCACCTGGGCTTGGGGATGGGTACAGGGAGATTTATTGTATTTCTAATTTCTCCCAGATGTCACTGATCCACAGAGTCCAGGGTTGTTCATTGTGGCCTCACAGCTGTGGAGTTGTTACTTGTTGAACTTGGATTTGTTCTTTCAGGCAGAAATTTGAAAACGATTGCTCAGGTTTAAAGGGTTTGTTAGTAAAAGTTGTGAGGACAAATCTAGATGCCAGTAAACCGTTGGTGTTGGTGTTGCTTTGATAAAGTTGATGCCCAAATTCATGTAATCAGACTGAAGGATCGCCCACACCTTTTTGAACTGGTTTGCCTCTGACCTCCCTCTACTCTGTTTCTTCCCAGAGGAAGAGATGAGGCTCCGTCCTCATGGCTGGCCTTTACCCAGGCCCAGGGCAGTTCACCACATGATCGAGGACTTCCTCACAGAGTGGGAGAGTCCCATCTCTCACATCCAGCCACTGCGGCGCTTCCTGGAGCACTGTGTCCAGACCGACCTCAGGGCCTTTTATGCAGGTAACGCAGCACGTTGGCAGCTGATCTGTGTTAGCCACATCAAGCTAAACTGCCTCAGGTGATAGACAGTGACAAGAGAACAAAGTGGACTGAACATGTACATTAAGAGCTGCTGGTTGACTGTCATAGTACTAAATAAGTGTACACTGTAAATTGTTACACTACTGTGTGTGTGTGTGTGTGTGTGTGTTGCAAATCAATCTCACATTATTCTGTAATTGTTTTTTTCAGAATTGATATACAGTATTTTATTAAAGTTGCACATTGTTGCTAACAGATACAAGAGATAAGTGATTTAGTCACACACATTACAATCACTGCAACTTAACAACACCAAGTCAAAAGCTAAGACAGCACTTCCTGCTAATCTGCTGAGCTAGGCTAATTATCTTTTAGCCAAACTAGTTTACCTGATTTTTTTCATAAGATTTTGCCCTGTTTATTGTGGCATTACAAAGATGTTTGTTCATCAAATTTCATATTTTTCTAATTACAAAAAGAGCTCAGGAGAAGTGGTGCACTGTGCTTTAGCTAGAGCTAGAGTGCTAGCTCACCAGCTAGCATTCCCTTACTGTAGCTCTCTTGGTTTATCTGCTTTTCCGTGGCATTAGAACTATAAAATATTATTTTGCAATTACACATTTCTGTTGCACAGCAGGACTAAAAGAATGCTGCCAAACAACAAAGAAAATAAAGTGCCTGTACATTAGTTGTTGACACACCTGTTTAGAGACGAGACTTTATAACATTCATTGCAACACAAGGAACATTTTATGATGTTACACATTCAAGAAGATTTTGACTGCAGGCTTTTAGCTTTTTAAAAAGGGGATGTGTGCCTCACACATCAAAGTGCTGCTGATGCTTGTACTCAACCTTGAAATGTTGGCATCAATGTAGATATATCGTTTTAGTAGTTAAGTGAAAATTTGCATCTTAAAGGTTAAATCCACAGTGAATTAAATCTGCAGAAAAAGAACCATGAAACTTTCAAGCTTGTGCAGAGGGTAGTGATGTTAGACTGGAAACGGTCAACTCGACACAGCGCTGACCTTTCAGACCAGTGATATTGCAGGAATATGTTTCGATGCCTCGCTTCACCACTTGAAAAATCACATGACCATCTCAAACTAAGCTACATGTCATCACAGTCGTATCAGAGGGGTCAGTTTTGAACATGAGATGTACTTGTTACTCTGCCACAGAATCTAAACCCAGAGCTGTAGAGTGTGTTCATGAGTGATCAAGTCTTCTTTCTTTTGTTCAAGCGATACTGAACAAAATAACAATATAAAAGCATCAAGACCACATCATGGTCTTAGTTTTACTTCACAGTTGGCGTCAGATCCCAAGACTCAGGAGCAGATTCTGGGACAGGTGGCCTGTTTTCCCCTCTGACCCTCTTGATCATAACCCTAACTACACGTGTCTGATGATTTGTTTCAACCCAGCCCAAGCCTTACTCTAGTCAGCCTACTCGCAAGCTTTGGGATCTAACGTTTACCCTCACTTCCCCCACATAAATGCAACATTAAGGATTTGGCCAGATGTCACCATTTTTAACTGTGTCAGTGGTTCAGAACATTTCAACACAATTGCTTCTTATTGATTCAGTGCTTCAAAAAGCATTGTTGTCTCTGTCACTCTCAGTAAGTAGCAGTGCTGTAACTCATTCCTGTGCTCCTTCCTGTTTTATAGAGTCATGTTTCCGTTCATCCCTTACCCACCGCAAGCCACCGCTGTTCTGCCAGCAGGGATACTTGAAGCAGCAGGGTATTGTTCACAACAGTTGGCTGTCGCAGCACGTTCGTGAAGCTCGACTGATGCCGACCGAGCACAGTGCTGGCACATCAGGGGCTGATCCTGCTTTCTCCAACTACCTGGCACATACCAGAGCCTCCATGTCTTCAGGACTGAAACTTGACTTGTGATAGTTTAATCTGTGTGTGTAAGACCATGCCTATGATGCTGTTTAGGTTCCTCAGATGTGCTACCTCCAGCACCATAGTCATTCCCACTGAAAGACCAAATATTTATGACACTATGACATCCTAAATATCAGTGGTTCCCAAACTCTGTGGCTTGTGACCCCTAAAATAAATCAAACTGTACTTGGAACCTCTCAACACCAGGTGGAGAAATCTACCACAGACCTATTTTAACCAAAGAGCTTATTTTTATTATATTTTTATTCATGACAAAGCAAAGATTAGATGAAAGCCTGGAAAAAACAAACAAATGTGTATTTCCTCTTCTGGTATAATCACATCATGGCCTCTCAGACTTGCCCGTCACAGACCTCTTGGGGGGACCAGCCCCCGGTTTGGGAAACCACTGACACCAGTGGTTATCACTGTCCCTTGTCCCTTGAAAGCTCCCTCTAATTATCCCTCACAGAATATTTATACACACTATAATGTGCCATGTTCTTATCAGTATAGATTATTTAAAACTATATGGGTGGAGGGTGGGCATCACAAAATGATTATGCATTATATATTTTACATGATGTTAAAACACATTTACCGAGGAAATAAAAAGCTTGTTTTTATTTATTTTAAATAAATGTTTTGTAGAATGTTGCTGATTTTAACAATAAGAGTGCACAGAAAGATCTGACTACAGAAAATGAAAAATTAAATAAGACATTTATGAGAAATATCACATTATATCCAAAATTAAACACAACTGACAGTGCTGTAGGCAAAACATTGGTAAGATGTCTTTAAAACTTTAGTTTTTTTTTGAGTTGTTAAAAAAATTATTCTTATTTAACAACTCTTTATTTCAGTACAATACAAAATCAGAACACGGAGCTAAATTACAACACGGGCGTCCACCTGCAGTTAACACTTAAAATAATATAAATGAGGCATCAGAACAAGTAATTTTTGATCAACATTATGAGCTTCTTTTGGTCTGAAAACTGTCTCTAATATTAATAAGTTGACATTTACGAATATATTTGACCAGAATAATTAAATGAGGTTTAACCAATACATCAGTGAATTTTTAGTTCAACAAAGGACAAAGTTCATATGCGCAACACGAATAACCGTTATATACTGTACGTCCGTGCAAATCATACGGAGCACTTCCTTGTTGCTGAAAACGCTGAAAGACAATTGGACGGGAGCAAACGAACAAAACGGATTCTGATTGGACCTTACTGCTGTGAGTTGCCGACTCTGGGCAATGGGTGTGCGTTTTACTACTTTTCTGGAAAATGTGAAACGGGGGACATTTTTGTGCCGAGAGAGAAGGTGTCTGCTCCCGTACAAAAACTTGAAAATGACCCAGGATGGAGCGACTTTTGTGGGCCAGCGTCTGTGTTGACGCGCCGTGCCATCGTTCTAGCCGTCTCAGACGGAGCAGATGCCATATTGAAAGCACCGTGCCAGACGGAGCAGATGCCATATTGAAAGCTGATTCTTGATATTAAATTACGGCTTTATTTCCTTTTTGCTTCGGTAGTAGCATCGTAGAAGTATCGAGTGTAGCACAACAAACACAGCTCGCAGTCCCGGTAAAGTATGGACGGGTGGAGCCCCATCGTGGCAACAGCCTGCGATAATGACCCGTCCAGCTCCGAGGGAGAGTACATGGTGGAGCCCGGACCCGAAGATGAAGCCCGGGAGGCGTCGGACAGAGAGCAGAGGGTGTGCGGGGACGACGGGAGTCCCGCTGCGGTCGCGTTCGGGATCAGTGGTATCGGTGAGGGCAAAGTGGTGCTGGGTCGAGTCGGACCGCGAGACGAAAGAGAGCTCCGGTACCTGCACCTGTGGTGGGAGCTGGGACCAGCGGAGGTCGGCGGCGGTTGCGGGTCGAGCAAGGTGGGGAAAATGACTGGGACCCGAGCCAGGAGACAGCACCGAGCCGTGCGGAACCTCGGTCCTATCGGAAAAGACATTTACGGTAAGAGACCGTTAGAGTGTGTGTGTTGGTTAGTGTGCCCGTGTGGAGACTGCTGACCAAGTGTTTACTACACTTGTAACGTGAATTTGCGTGATAACAGTTGAACAGGGACAGTGCGACTAGTGAATAAAACCCGTGTACACTTCCTTTATTTTGCTGATGTACATCCCACATGATCTATACAGCTTATATTAAGTTGTATAAGAAGAATGTCAGGGACCAAACAGTAAAACAGAGGATCCAGCTTTTAAAACTATGGGCGTTTTATTAACCCAAAAATAAGGAGAAATACAAACAACAATATCAAATAGACTGGGCCCTAAAAGAGGTCAACAAAACATAAGGAGACTGAAAATACAGCAAACTGAACTGTCAACAAAAACCATGTGACCCAACAAGGGACACACACAGGGGAACATGTATATTGGCTGGACAAACCATTAACACACACAGGGGACAGACCAAAGACACTAATCCACTAATAAACACTAAACAGTCTGCTAGCAACTAAATGAAATGTGGGACTGTTTTGTCTTTTAAAGACATTAATAATAGACTTATATACTATAATGTGACTCTGCTGTCTTAAAACACTGTTTAATAAAGATATGCCTGTGCAAGATTGATAGAAATACCAAAAAGTATTTACAAAACACAAAAATATGGAACAAATTGGGAAATGCTTGTTATGATAGTTGTACAAAGAAAGGGGATTTGGGGGCTTCAGAGATTTTTATTTAAAACAAATTATCTAAGAAAAATTGGAAGTGTGTCTACAAAAAAAGCCACAATCCAAAAGTCCAATAATTGAGAGAATAAACAGAATCTGTAAGGTTGTGCAAAGGTTCAGATGATCAGTAATTGTAATTTGTAGTGGCCTTGTTTGAATATAAACGTACTGCCCCAGTGTCGCAGTAAGAGAAGACGGCAGCGTGTATGTCATGGTGTGAGAACCAGTTGCAGTCTCAGCTGTTCAAACAGGTATAAAGCCAGCGTGGCTGTGAATGCTGTTTGTTTACTGACGCCGTGCAATCTCAGTTCATCATTCATAAATTAGTATTTGTACATCTCTGAATATTTTCTCTTCACAGCTGTGAGGAGACTGAGAGAAGCAGCGAACAGTAACGACATCGACACAGGTATGAGCAGCGACCTGATGCGGTAAAATGCCTTCACTAGTAGAGTCCGAGCAGGCGGTGCTTAGCTAATAACGCTGTGTTTTTTCAGTTAGAAAGCTCCTGCAGGAAGACGTCGACCCCTGTGCAGCAGATGACAAGGGGAGGACAGCCCTGCACTTCTCCTCCTGCAATGGCAATGAGAGCATCGGTAGGTTGGAGTCATGTCTGAGGAGGAAATGGCACAAAACGAAGGCTCGGTACGCTCAGATCAATGGCGTGTTTCGTTTTATTTAGTTCAAAGAGTCACATCAGCACCAGTGTCTCAGCTTCACATTGAGTCCTTTAACTTTTCACTGCCACCAAGCGTGTAGCAGGTGATCAGAGGCGTCCTCACACCTGTCTCTCTGGAAACCTCACAGCATTCAGTCCCAGCAAAAGCAAGATCATAGGTACAGTCACACAGCTGTACACACATTATATAAATAAACAACATTACACATTATACAAGTAAAAAGGATCAGAAACACCCATCTCCAACCACAGATATAAGCCTGTAGACGTCTCTTCTGGCTGTGAGCTGCGTCTCTGCTGCCGCCATGTTGCAGCAGGGTTCGGTTCAGACGGTAGAAAACAGCAGCCTGTGCTGCCTTTGGGTGTGTTAATGAAAGAAAGGACGAAATGGAGCAACAAATAGCCCCATAATTTCACAGTTATTGTACAAAATGTATTTTACTGTTATTAAATTGGATTTAATTTACTGTTCTAATAAAGTGAGATGTAGCTGAATAGCTGCACTGTTGCACACCATATACACATGCACAATGTCGGTGGTTTGAGTCCAGCCGCTGACATTTGTTGCAGGTCAGCTCCTCTCTGTGTCTGTCCCCCACGTGTCCTGTCCACCTCTCTACAACCCACTTACAAAAAAAAAGCAAAATGTGCCCATAAAATAAGTTTAAAAAGGTAAAAATGAAAAACAGCCATTTGACTACAACTGTAGTTAAACTGTGCAGCTTAAAATTGAACTTAATAATGTGAAAACGTACATAATTGTTTAAATGCAAAGTGTAAAGTCAGTTTTTATTTTGAACATTTTCAAAATTAGTCCATCCATCCATCCATCCATTTTCTTTCGCTTATCCGGGACCGGGTCGCGGGGGCAGCAGTCTAAGCAAAGATGCCCAGACTTCCCTCTCTCCAGACACTTCCTCCAGCTCCTCCGGGGGAATGCCAAGGCGTTCCCAGGCCAGCTGAGAGACATAGTCCCTCCAGCGTGTCCTGGG